ACCTGCACTCATATGTTAATTACAGCACAATCTACAATAGCAAAGGCATAGGATCAATACAAGATGCCCATCAAAGGTGGACTGGATAATGAAAATTTGGTATACATACCCCACAAAATACTATGAAGTCATAAAAAAGAACAAAACTATGTTGCTTGCAGCAAAATGGATTCTTCTGGAGACCATCATTCTATACAAATTATCACAGAAAAAAAAACTGAATACTGCATATTCTCACTTAAAAGTGGGAGTTGAACACTGAATATACTGAATATACATGGGCATAAGGAAGGGAATAGACATTGAGGCAGAAAAGAAGGGAGGAGTGAAAAGGTTGAAAGACTACCCATTGAGTATCATGCTCACCACCTCAGTAGAAGCCCAAATCTCACCATCATGCAATATTCTTATGTGAAAAACTGCACATGTACCCCTTGACATGACAAACAAACAAAAAAAGGCAAACAACCAAAAAAAACACAAAACTCCAAAATTGTTTAACTTATTGACAGCATACAGGTTCATATTCTTATTAATTCAGTTTTAAAATCTGGATCTTTTGTTTCAATTGTGTAATTAATAACATTTAATGTGTATTGAAATTATTATATTTTTGCATGTCATCTTGCTTTTTATTTTCTAAATGTGTCATGACTACTATTGTCCTGTGTTTTACTCAGTGTCTTGAGTAGCTATTTTCCAATGGACTTTTTCCATTCTTTTCATAGTTTTTAACTGTAGCCTTGAATTTGTTTTAGTGTGCTGCTATTGGGTTTTCAATATATAGCATATAGAAATTTGCTTCAGATGTATACTAACATAATTCCAAAGCATTTGCATTATGATTTGTGCTGTTAATTTTGTTATCTTAGGTGAATCACTTTCTTCCATGCCTTTGAGAGTCAACTTATAACTTTAGGTCTCATATGAACAAATCGAGAGATTTTTAAACCTTGGAACAATTCAAATACCACACTTTTTTTTTTTTAGTGAGATTTGTCAACTTCCACTGTGAAGTTTGCATCACCTAAGGTATAAGTCTTATATTTTCTCACAAACCAGATGATTTAGACAGAGTTCTAAGTGCTCTATCAAAGGAAGATGTGATTATGATTATTAATCCAGAAATTATCAGAATTAATGGAGGAATTACTAACTGTGTGAGTTTGAGCAAGTTATTTAACTTTTTGTGCTTGATTTTTTTCAATTATAAAATAGGAATAATAACTATACAATGGAATTTTTGTGCAAATTAAGTAAATATAGTTCAAGCACTTAGAATACATTCTGACATGAGTGCTTAGAAATGTTTTCTATTGTCATTATTTTTATTATTACCTTGAAATTTGTCTAAGCATGAAAGGTTGCTGGGCTCATCCCAAAGCTCTTTGATTAAAAAGTTCCTTTTCTGTAAGTACCAACTCTGCCTCTAGCAATAGAAACTTGTTATCTATGCTTGGTCAGTTCAGTTCAGAAGGAAAGCCCATTTGTTTGGGAAAAAGCTTGCAGGAGAAGGTACTCCAGTGTGAAGGATGAGCTAAAAATCTTTGAGGGACTGTACTTGGGGAAAAGAAAATCTGTCTTTTTAGAGTTATAGTGTCTTAAATGGGGTCAGGTTGGGATTCTGACCTTGTGATCCATTCCACCCATTGAAGCAAAAGAAGACTGTATAAAAAAGGAAAGGCTGCAGGATTCAGGAAAAGCTTCAGGACATCCACTAATTAATGCAAAGTTAGTAATTAACTGGCTCCTTTTCCCTAGAACACTGTCCAGATTTATGGAGGCACTGTGCCTATTTAGAAACGAGAAGAGTTACCAAAACTGTTACCTGGACCCTAATCCATAGGCATAGTTAACATCCTTTGGTTACATTTATACTGTTTCTAAGGGAAACTAGCATAGTGTTGAGCTAGAGATTGATTTGGGTTTGGAGTGTGAATATCCCAAGCATCTAACTGTTCTTATGCAAGTGTGTAAATGACTTCCCAGTTGGAAGTCATATTTCAGTTACTTTTGTTTCAAACAGATAAAAATGAAATGTACCCTCCCCCAGATAGTTTTGAATGCACGTTTTCAGCTGCATATTCATTTTCCAGCCTCAGTGGCACAGACATCAACAACTCAATGAAAATCTTTTTTAAAGGACATTTTGGGTTAAGTTGTATGGTTATAAACTGGCTATTTGGAAAACACCTTGGAAAAGCTTTTATTTTTCTTTTTCTGCCTTACAAATATTAGAGTAAGCAAAGCTAAAAGGTTTGCAGCAAGAAGTGAGGGGAAGAGAAATGAGGACAGTAGTGGATAAACTTTAGTACTTTCTTGTCAAATTTATATATGTGTACTCTTTAGCCTAAAATCACAGTTTAATGTGGATTTGTGTGAAAATGGGTGAAATTGGACATATTTTCTCTGAGAAGTAAAAAAAAAGTCACATTGTTGCTTTAGTTAGGTAGAGAGAAGGTCAGGGAGAGTAACTTTTGCTGCATCACTATCAATTTTGGGTTGATCAAATATGGACCCTATCCTCTTGGAGTTTACTGTTGGGAGAGGCCAATGTTAATAAAACTATCACACAAATACATCACACAACAGTATGTACAATTATGCCTGTGAAAAAATGCAATGAAAAAAGCTCCATAATGCTAAGAACATATAATAAATGGAGGTGACCTAAACTAGGAATTAAGGAAGGGTTCTCTGAAGGCATGATTGCCAAAATATCATCTTAAAGAAGAGTAAGAATTAAATTGGTGAAGAGGAGATTAGGGAGGGGGAATAGCACTTGGAAATATCCACGATGTGAGGAATCATATCTCATTTTAGGAGCTGAAAGAAGATTAATGAGGTTGAAGCTCAGATGGAGAAAGGAAGTGTGATGCTAAAAGAACATATGACCCAGAAGCATGGTAAAAGATCTGGTAACAAGCACTTTGTGCAGTTAATCAGAAAAGTACTTGAGTCCTTGAGGGACAAATGAAGACAGATGAATAGGAAGTCTGAGGAATATTAAAGAGGAGAAAAGATAATGAGCTGGTCATACAGACAGATAAACAGTGTCCACAGCTATTTGTTAACTCTTCAATCACCACAGTGCCTCAAGTTGCTACAATAGAGTATTTCTTTCAACGGTTCTTCTCTTTACCCTTCTTTTTGCTTCACAAACTAGTCTCCCTCTCACCTCCTCTCACTTAACACTTGGCATTTGATCACTTGGCTCTGTCTACCTGCACAGTTATCCCTTTCAGTTCTTGGTTTATTTCAGTGTTTGTTTTATTTCAGTTTTTATTTTATTTCAGTTTTTTAATTTCAATTTGTTTTATTTCAGTATCTAGTTTATTTTAGTTCTTGGTTTAGCTCAAATCTCACCTCTTTTGGGAAGCTTTCCTGGCCCTATATATGGGACTTCATCTCCATCTTTGGATCTATTACAGAACTCACTCTCCATATAACAACTTTGGTATTTTTTCAAAAATTGCTTCTGATATCTCACTGTTTCACTTGTCTTTGTGTCTCCAGCTAGACTGTGGCATTCTGTAGAATAGTGACTCTTTCTCTTGTGGATCAACAGATGCAACAAGGGCTGGTCTAGGCCCAGAGTAAGTGAAAGATCACTACTGAAGACACAGCCAATGTCAGCAGCTGACAGAAGTAAGTGGAGAGGGGAATAGAAAGATCAGAGACTGGGGTGAGGGTGGGGGAGGGGAAGCAACAGAGAGTGGTTTTTAGAGTCAGTCAAAAGTAATAAGGTTAGTGTCAGCTTCATACTGACTTGTTTACTGGCCTTGACTGTTAGTGAGAACTGCCACAATGGAGCTGAAGGAATAGGGAGAATAAACAAATGTAAAACAAGTCCTATTTGGGCAGCAGCTTAACTACACAAACTGAAATTTTGAAGCAGGCAGAGGATCCCCCAATTCTCCAGGAGCTTGGCTCTGCCTAGAGAAAGAAAGCGCTTTATTCCTCGCTGGAGATACATTCCAGAGAAGGGGGAGGGGCTGCTGTTGGTTGTGGTGTTGGCAGTGGGTGGAAGTAGTGGAGAGAGTGTTGGGGGCAGCTGGCTGGCTGGTGGAGGAGAAGGGCTAGCAATGAAGTTACAGATGGATGAGTGAGTTTTTGCCACAAATTCAGATCTGAGAGAGGAAAGGAAGGAGGAAGAAAATAGGGAAGCAGTGTGAATGACCAAAACAACAACAACACTTGTTCTCCCTGTGGGAGAGGTATACAGTTGACTATAACTCTCTACCATAAAGAGATTTCATCTGTACTATTTATTTTTTAGTAAACCTCTGAAAATTTCATGGTAATTAGATTTCTTGCCAGACAACTATTTAAGAAAAGTGTAGATCCTTCTTTTGCCACAGAGCACTCTCTAGGCCATGAAGGTGGGTATCAGAGCCCTGGGACCCCAGGCCATCTCCATCTAAGGGCACTTCACTGGCTTAATAAAGTGAGTATGGTATTTATTTTTATTTTTATTTTTTGTGGTTGGTAAGGGGTTTATTTTTGCACAGTATGATAGGAATGTATTTATGGTACGTTTTTGCCTTTTTCCTGTCCCCCTTATTATTATTAATATTGTTGTTGTAATTATTTTAAACAAGTAGAAGCAAACATGGGACACCCTTAATTGAAACACTCCCCTCAGTTTAGAGTTTTGTCTCCTCCTTCTCATTAAAATTGTAAGATAGTAGTGTCCTGCAGCAAAGACAGGCACACAGGCTTTCTCTGTGAATTAATTGGTCAGGAAAGACACTTTTTATATTGTCAAGTGGCACTTAAATCACTAATTCTTGACTGTAAAACTGCTTTTCCTGGGCAATGCTCTTTAAAGGAAAACTCCTCAGTCCTGTGATTGGTGATTAAGGGAACGATGGAGCACAGGGGATAGGGCGAGATCTAGACTCCTAATAATGCCTCTTTATCCAATGAAAAGCTTTTCCTATCGAGACCCCCAAGAGTTCTCCGGGCCCACGGCTTCAGACTGGACTTCGGGCCACTTTTTTGTGTGTCCTGTTTGTTAAAGGCATGCGGGCTACAGCATTCAAGAGAGCCGGTCGTTAACAAAGGGAAAGAGATAAATGTAAATAAGCTCACATTTTCAGAATGAGCGGTTTGCAGTGAGAAGCTGCGGCAACTCGGAGTCTGCTACTTTGGGTTGGGCTAACCTTTCCCTGTTAAAAAAAAAAAAAAAGAAAAAAGAAAAAAATGGGTAAAAATATGCACTTCCAAAGTGCGAGTTGCCCGTTTACATGTTTATTAAATAATTGTCTACAGGCATGAGCACATTCTCTCATCTAGCACACTCTTTCTTAGGGTAAGTGTTTCTTTCAGAGAGATTTGATTTGGGCGTTTGGGGGTGGGGGGATGGCGTAACAAACCAGTGGAAACACTGATGCTTTGAGTGTTTGGGAAAAGAAGTTAACTTCAACTCTGAAGTACTGAACAAGGATCGTCGTGTTGAATGGTAAAAAACAAGAATTTCTGTTGTTTTGGCAATTACATTGTTTCCGTGTAAGAGATACAGGATTTTCAGGCTGTTGTTTCATGTAAACAAAGTTGTTCTAAAGAGCTAATTTAAAATCACAGGGTAGAACAATTTAGAGACTCTTTTGGCAAGCTTTATGTTTCTTTGGTTTACAATTGATTGTGATCTAATGTGGCTTCTATTATGATGAGGTTTCTTTTAGTAAGACTATACACGACATGCCTTTGATGCTTAATTGATTTATGGAGAATGTGACATTTGCTGTACTGAATAATTCATGAATGTGCCCATGAAGGAAAAATCATGTTTGAATAAAAACTAATTCTTGTATAAATTAAATTTACTATTATATGTGAAATTAATTGTTGTTTTCCATACAAATGTAATAATGTGCCATCATTATAATTCTCTTCTTGTATATCCTGAATGCTTTTAGGATTTTCTTTTTTAGTAAAAAGATCTTGTTGAATTGATGAGTACTGTGTTTTAGGTACTCTGTTATAGGAAATATAGCAGTGTAATTTACCATTATTTCAGTGTGGAAAAAGACCAGACAAATCCAAAAGTTAGAACGTTTCAGAGCTTGGTGGGGTTATTCACATTACTACCTTACCAAATTATGCTATTTTTTTTTACTCACATGAAGACAACAATAACTTAAGATATAAATTATCCAATGACTTTGCAACATGTTCATATTTCGGAACAAAATTCCAAACAACATACCCCTTCAACACAGATTATAAAACATTTCTTTGTCACAGAAGAAAAGTTGCACTTACTCAGAAGGATGAGTTCAACTGATAAACTTGATGGTATCTACAGTCGAAAGCATCTCCTGCCAATCAGAGATGCAAATGAAACCCTTATTGGAACAATCAGGCCAGTCTTTCAGAATGTGTATTCTCTGTAAATTAAAGAGAAGATTGGGAAGATGCCCCACAGCAACACTCAGGCCAAGCTTAGTTAAAGTTTGATGTATTCAATTGCCTTTGAGGGAAAATGCAGTAAGAATTTTTGCTCTTGCTGTGGTTGGGTCAGGGCCTAATTGTGTAGTTATGTTTTTTCTGTATGTGTAGTCGTCTTATATGGTCTGCTCTTAACCTTTTTAAGAGGGAAGAAAAAAACCCTATAATGTGTTTGTGAAATTGTTAATGAAATTTGGGAGCTTGACAGAAGATCACCCACCACTGGAAACCCAGCTTCACTTTTAGTAGATAAATAAGTGGTTACTAAAACAATGAAAATGGCAGTCTGCTGATTCTATATGATTACGTTCTGAAGTATGGTGATAACCTTATATTTTGAGGGGTGAGGTGACCAGAAAACAAGTAGGAAGGGTTAAGGATTGAGACTTAGACATTTAGAGTTGCTATGCATGCTGAAATGGACAGAAGAACAGAGGATGAGGAAAATGGGGGATTTGGAAGACTTTAGGATATAAATGGAATCTTGCTCTGTAATTCTTAGTTTCTGGAACTACATAATATTTATTTATGGTAATAAATATTTCAAATAAATATGGCAGTCATTTTCATTTGGCCTAATAAAACTGAATGGCCCGCATTGCAGACTGAAGATTTAAAAAGTTTTTTTTGCAGTGATAAATAGAAGCAGGTGAAAATAAGTGACAAGAGAGAAAGAACAACCAGTGAGGCTACTACCAAGGCACCAGTTGAGGGCTTCTCAATCAAGGTCAAAGGTGGAAGGAGAAGAGAAACTGAGGCCAAAAAAGCTTTCACACAGCTCTTGATGGGGATGGATGATCCTATATTGAATTAATATCAGATATGAAAATTTCTGGGTATTTGGACTATCTAGTTTGCTTGGATTCCAAATAAAAGAATGCGTTTTCTTTATAACTTATAACAACTGTGGAAGAAAGAGATGTTAATGTTGCTGTCTTCCTTTATGATAAATCAATAAAATAATACTCATTTTATTCCAGGAATACAGGTATCTGGAAGAGTGTGAAACTATGAATGCTCCTTAATATTAAGGTGATCTCAATGTATTTTAGATTGTGTAATTATTTCATTTGTTTATTTTTATTTATCTATTTAGATTAGAGAAAAATCACTTCAGAAGAGTTAGAATACTATTTGCTATCTGCTTTATTTTAGGCCACCTTTGTTCAGAAGAAAGTGAGATATAAGAATAAAACTGAGTGACTCTCACTGCAGACTGACTGAGGATTTAAAAAGTTTAAAATGACAAGGTATAAGTTTGGTACTAGCAGATGATTCTATTTACAGGTAGAGTCACTAGAGTCCAAATGCAGATGCTACATGTAAGAATACCATTGCAGAATATTTCTGGTTCTATACAAATATTTTGTGAAGAGTTGTGAATTGAAGATATTAGAGACATGCCATATCGGGTAGGTCTGGGACATCCTTGTAAAGGCTCAGTGATTGTTGTTCAATGTGCTAATACCCAGTAATTGAAATCTTGCTCATATCACTTCAGTTCAGGCGGAAGAAATTGGGTGGGTACAGGTTAGAGACAAGACAGTGGAGTTCCCATCTATAGTTTGTCTTCTTTCTTCTTCTTCTGTCAAGGCCCCTACCCAATAGTAACAGTTGTTGTGAGGGAAGAAAGAAAAAGAAAAAATAACCAATACAACTTCTGGCCAAAAAAAATTTCTACTTTATTCAGTTATCTTTCATGTAGTGCATTACCTTATGGGAGTAGGGGAAAGTATTTTTATGCCTTTTGTCACTAGTTATTTTTAAATGGTTATAAGTTACACAGACTCACGGATTTTGTGCTTCAGTTAATGCAACTAATAAAATATGACAGCAGTGACAGGTTTGAAAAATAAAGTAACCTGCAATTCTATAATAATAAAATTCAATGCATTTAAAAATCATTTTAAAATATGTTAACTTTCATTTGTTCTGATTCATATCAAAATAATTTTTCTTTCTTATGATCTTGGTACACAATTTATCAAAAAACTCTCTTTATGGCACACTATTGTGATTAATTCTAATTCACAGTACTCATTGGAAGAAACCCTTAACTACAGTGCCTCCAGAAAGTTCATTGTTTATTCAAGTGTTGGATAAAATTGGTGCCAGAATTTGATTTGAACTAATGTGGTAAGTACTACTCTTCTGACAATAACTTTCTCCACAAATTCTTAATTTCATTTTCCAAATTCTTTGTAACAAATACTTCCAAATTATTAGAGAGTATATGATCCAAAACCCAGAATAGATGAAAGAATTTTAATTGTTTATTGTAATCCAAGAAATTTTGGTGTAGATGAATATTGATTTTTTGATTCAACTTCTCTGTGCCGCTAGTATATAACTTTAGAGATGGGAGACATGTTTTGATTCATTTTATCAGGATTAGTGTCCAAGTATATCACATAGCTTGGTGTCCAAATTGATAACTTATTTTCCAGTCCAAATATATGAAATAAAGCCAGATGTCTAGCTGGTATGAATGAGTCTTTGGCAAAAAAACTCTTTTAGGAACACCTGAAAACTTTTTCAAAAGTTCTGGGGCTTCTGTGGAGATGAGATAGTGACTCCAGACAATTTCAAAATATTAAGTTGAACAATTTATCTGCAATTGTCTTACTCCATATCTAACTACTAGGGAAAATTCTACCTTAGTAGGGCTAATGCAATCTTTGGTCATATCATGTTGAGCATCAGACCACATTATTTCTTTTTAAAAAAAATTTTCTATTTTAAAGATGTGGGTCACAATTCAGGGTTAGGTATACAAATGTTCATTATTTGGGTCCCTTGTTGATGAGGTGTGACCCTCTCTCACCTGGCAGTTTCCCTCAACTGCCAATCCCAACCCCCTCCCCTGGCAGTTTCCCACTATTGCCAATCCCTTTCTTATAGTATTATAATTGTTCAAGGTCTGCATATAAGAGAACATATGGTACTCTGTTCTTTGTTTCTGTGATAGATCACTGAGTATGATAAACTCTAAATCCATCCAGGTTGCTGCGAAGTCCATATGTTTGTCCTTCTTTATGGTTGCATAATATTCCATTGTGTATATGCACCACATTTTTAAAATCCAGTCCAGCTTCGATGGGCAGCATGGTTGGTTCCATGTTTTTGTTATTGTGAATAGGGCTGCAACAAACATACGTGTACAGGTATCTTTTTTTTGTAGAATGATTTGAGTTCCTCTAGGTATATTTTGAATAGGGGGATTGCTGGGTTATATGGAAGATCAATTTCTAGTTCTTTCAGAAATCACCACACTGTCTTCCAAAGAGGTTGCACTAGTTTGCATTCCCACCAGCAGTGTAGAAGGGTTCCTTTTTCTCCTCATCCTCGCCAACATCTATTGTTGTTTGTTTTATTAATGATGGCCATTCTTACTGGGGTTAGGTGGTATCTCAATGTGGTTTTGATTTGCATTTCTCTGATGATGAGTGAGGCTGAGCACTTTTTCATATGTCTTTTGGCTACCTGTATATCATGTTTTGAGAAGTGTCTATTCATGTCTTTTGCCCACTTTTTAATGGGACTGTTTGTTTTTTTCCTTTCAATGCATTTGAGTTCATTGTAGATCCTAGATGTTAGACATTTGTTAGATATACAGTTGGCAAATATTTTTTCTCATTCTAGTCACTGAGCCTGGCCTCACATTATTTTTTAAAGATTGGACTGTGTCATCAGGTGAGAGACTTAAGTATTTTTTGGTGAAAAAAAAATTAAGTCAATCACCAAGGATGGGATAGCATCAGATTGGGACCTGTGTCAGTTTCTCATTGTCCTCAAGTCAAATGGGGAGACACCACAGTTTTAATAATCTTAGTGAAAACTAGATTTAATGTAGACAAGGCATTTTTAATAAGACTATTTCTTGCATCAAATATAAAAAGACTGATACAGATCAATTTCCCAGTTCCATTCTGGAGTGAAACATTTATCTATGGTTTCTTCCATATGGAATGTCATAAAGCTAGATTTACTTAACCATTATTAAACATCAACGAATGCATAGGAATATCAATAGGAACCATGTGTATGATTGTGATCTGTGCCTGTGAGTTGACCTATGTTTCTTTAAGGAATCTTATCTGTTAGGAGACAATAATTTGAGGAGCAACAGTCTAATGTATTCCCTATTAGTCCAGCAGGATAGTTTTTAGTTGTATTTTTTTTTACAACATTTGTGTATTTTTAAGTGTACTGCAATGCTAGGTATGTATAGGCAAGAACACAACAGATTTCAGCTTCCTCTGAAAATTAGCTTAGACCAGGGTAGAAAGAGGAAATGCTCTGAGAATCAAAAACACTCTAACCTGACCTGGAAACATTAAAAATGGAGCCGAACAAAAAGAGTTTGAGTATACTCTGCCTTCAAATCCTTGTCTTCTTGAGTTCTAGACTGTCATCTCTAGGGAGCAAAAACAAACTAACCTTTCTAGCGTTTCTTTCTAGGGTTTCTGATATATCAGAAACCCTAGAAAGTGTATATATATGCAAAAGGCCAACTTTACTTTCCCCAGGATGCCCAAAGACCTCAAACATGGTATACCTGTATTATTATCATTCAAAATAAAAAAAGTATGGACATTGCTATAAATTGTCCAAATTGGCTCCATATGTGTAGGTCAAAGTTAAAAATTCATTGAAGGTCAGATTTCTTTTTGATCAACCTTCAGTTGACCTGCTTTTTGCCCATTGTCAATGAAAATACATTCTTATACTCCTAGTTGATTAATTGTTGGAACAATTTGCTGTATAGATCTTCATAAGACAGTAGTTTAATGCTGCTTCCAGTGGAAGATGTAATTAACTGCATAAATCTATGTTTTTCCTTTTTCATCTAATCTGAAACTCAGATATTGGTTCTTTGCCATTCAATGCACAAGATATTAACCATTTAAGAAGACATAGTATTTAGAAATCTATTTCTTTTAATCAAAAGAAAGGAAGTCAGCTAGAGAAGAGACCCTGTTTCTTGAACATCACTGCTTTTTCTTCAGAATCAGCTTGAGCTAAATGTCTCTCTTAATTATTTTAAATCATAGTTCTATGAAAAATATTACTTTGGGAACACCTCCTGGATTGTCCTGATTAAATAAATTGTTTAGTTAAGGTTGGAACTCAAGCAGGAGCTTTCTGAAGTACAAGGTATGCATGGCATTAGAAGAAGTATATGTTACTAATATGAACTTCAGGGTACCAAGAAAGACAGAGAGACAAATTTCCATTTGTGTCAGGGAAAGAGAAGAAAACACATTTCTACAATATTTCCCTGTGGTTAGGTGGTGCTCAATACTGGCAAGCTCATAAAGCTACTCACAAGTCCTGTTGAATCTTCCTATCCTCAACTGTGAGGCTGAGAGGTAAAGTTTATACAGGAAAGAGAAAGAGTATAACCAAGTTACAAAATAAGCCAGTGTCTGAGTCAGAAATAGAACTCCTTGCTTCCAATGTTGTGTTAAATCCCAGCACCACACCCTCACTGCTAGACAGCAAACGTGGTTTGTGTTCTAGTAAGGGAGAGCTATGAATAGGGGCATAGTGGCAGTTACCCTTGCCCTCTCTTCAGGATTGAATCTCTAATGCTTTCTTATCTGTGGTCCTTTCTTTCCCACAGGATTTGATTACTCAGAGCAGAGAGCAGAAGTGCCAGGCATTTGTAGACTACCTGTTGTGGGTATGGTGTTCATGTTCCTGGGGATATAAAACTGAAGTGAGGCGATGGATATGTTAATTAGCTTGACTTAATCACTCCATATGGTATATATATATCAACACATCACATTGTACTTCATAAATGTAATACAATTATGATTTGTCAATTAAACATAATACAATCTTTTAAAGATTGAAATTATTAAAAAGGTGAATGGAAAACTAGAGAGACCTATTTAAAATGCACTATCCTGGGAAACACAAAATAATACTCAGCTAGAATCATGCTGTGTAAGGGGCTCTCCTGTGGGTAGACTGGAGAGACTCTGGGCAGAAATGAAAAGACATCCATTATGAAAGCATTTTCTGAATAAAGTAAACTCACTGGCAATACTTATTGTAGAAGGCAGATGCAAGCATATCATAGTGAATAAAGCCTGACTCTAATGTTAGGGGTTTTGCAGCCCAATAATTTATTTAGATTGTGTGACTATGTTAGAGGAACATTTCTTTGACTCTCTTGACTTTCTTTAACAAGACAAAAAGAATATGAATGGTGGTCTTAGGGTAAAAAAGGCCTCCAACCTATTATAGTGAGTGGGGTGTTAAAAATAGTAAATAAAATGGTTTAAGCTATTGAGAAGCTTGGCATTCACTTCTTTCTTCTGTCACTCCATTGGTGAAACATAGAAGCTGCAAAAACCTGGGTCTACACACTCAAAGTGAGTGTGAGGAACATTGAGTTTCCAGGCTTTCCCTCTTTCTGCTGATTGGGTTCTGTGCCCTTAAACATAGCTGTTGCATATTGTTCTAGCTGAGAAACCTGGATGGAATAAGATGAAGCAAGACAGAAAGGATGGATTGGAGGAACAATGAAGTGGAAATCTCTCCCTAAACTCTGAATGCAAATTAGATGGCAGCACTGACCTCCTCCAAGCAAAGTCTCCCTTTTCTTTACCTTCTCTTCCCCTCTTTTTCTCAATTCTCCAGTTTTTCCTTCTCTACTAATTTCTTTCCCATTTCCTCTCCTCCTGCCACCTTCTATATTTCTTTTTCTTCTGGCCTTTTTTTCCCTCCTGCATCTTATTTAGTCAAGGTTTCTACTGTACTCTGCTTTTGTACATCAAGGTTACTTCTGGCAAAAGTTGAGCTGGGCCTATGAGATGAAATAGTCAAGAAGGAATATGATCTTAACTGAGTTTTAGGCTTAGAGGACACACTCTAAAAAGATTTGTTGAATCAGAATTCAAGAACAGCAAGTTTCCAATTTTAACTTGAAAACTTTAGTTATTAAAAATGAAAACCCTTTGCTTTCTACTTCATATTATTTAAGGGCATCGCTTCCTCTAGGCACTGCCTGAGTGAATAGTTTTTCTCAAGCGAAACAGATTTCTTTCTCAAGCCAAACAAGTAACTTCAGGCTCTTTTTCTGTCAGGTCCCTCCTACTCCACACTCTCTTTCCTATTGTATGCAGAAGTCCTCTGATCTGTATTCTGGGAATTGGAAAGAAAAAGTGACATAGGAAATATCTCTCCACAGAAGCATCTTTCACATTTTAAAATATAATAATGTGAAAACCCATTACAGTCTCTGTCAGAAGACAAAGACCACTTTTATTCCATATCTTCCTTATTCAAAATAATTCATTCAGCAGTTACTTGTTCATAGTGTATTATAGAACATATTCCAAAGACATTCTTTTTCCAGTGGCAGCTGTTGACCTAGGAGAAAGTTGCTAAGATTTCTGTGAAAAATGTTTGCCCAAATATCCAACAGAGATGATTAAGTCAATGGTTGTCATATGAATAAATGGTAGCAGAAGAGGGCACATAAAAGGCCAGATAAGAAGTGCACAGTAGGATGTAGGAATGACTGTTCATGTCAAATCCAGCTCTTGCTTCTCATTGTTATTTGGCAGGAAAAGGCTTTATTGACCAGGGCCATTGGGAGCTGACGCCATGGAAGTATCTGATAGAATGATCAGTGGGCTAGGGAGAAGGAAGACACCCTAGGCTTAAGGTCTAGCATGAGAAAAACTTGGAAAGGGGAAGCAAAATCTGCAGGAGGAAAATGCTGAGATTTTTATTGAATTATCTTTCTGAAAATACAAGGTGATACAGTGAAAAAAACTTTTAGTCAGAAGCTTTTATTCACTGAGGGACCCCTTCTTTCTAAACTTCTCTTTTGGAAGTTTTAGAAGAAAAAGATGAATCAACAATTTACTTTAGGAGCTTAGTCAGAATTTTCTTAAAGCATGTACTGTAGGTCCCATATTCACTTGTAGTCTTGTGCAATTAAACTGATACTTTGACAAGGAAGTTCAGTAATATTGGAGAGTGGACAATACAATTTAGATTAGCTTAAAAGTCCTTTGACAAAACCTGAATTCTGGTTCTGACTATACCATTTAACACCCTCTCCCAATTCCAATATTCTGTAATTCTAAATTATATAAGCCTTAGTTTCTGCTTCGGTAAAATGGTGATAATTCTTGTCTTACCTAACTTTTGGTGTTCTTGAGGAAATAAAATAAAGCATGGATTTTGAAAGGATTTTTTAAATTGAAAAGTGCCATATAAATTCCAAAGCATTAGCATTGTTTTAACTATTGGGTGGTTTTTTTGTTTTTTTTTTAAGGTGAGGGATGCTTGGGTAGCCTACACTTTACTCATGTAAATTGCAATGCTACAGTATTGCCCTTTCTGTATTGAGTGTTCCAACCACTGCAACATTCTCTTGTTGTACCTTTTAATGGATGATAAATGCTCAAAAAGCCAAACCAACGTTGAATGTTCATGTTATCTGCCAATCTGTGTGGACAGAATATCTTTTACTCCACAGAAATCATGGTTGGAAGACAGATTTGATGATTTGTTTTATCTTGTCTCATAGGAGGAAAACATTACCTACCAGTGCCCTAGTCTCAGAGTGGTGAACCCCTGCAACCAGCAGGCCTCTTGAAAAAAAAATCCATGGGTGACAGAAGATTCATTGACTTCCAATTCCAAGATTTAAATTCAAGCCTCAGACCCAGGTTGGGCAATGCTACTGCCAATAATACTTGTATTGTTGATGATTCCTTCAAGTATAATCTGAATGGTGCTGTCTACAGTGTTGCATTCATCCTGGGTCTGATAACCAACAGTGCCTCTCTGTTTGTCTTCTGTTTCCGCATGAAAATGAGAAGTGAGACCGCTATTTTTATCACCAATCTGGCCCTCTCTGATTTGCTCTTTGTCTGTACTCTACCTTTCAAAATATTTTACAACTTTAACCGCCACTGGCCTTTTGGTGACACCCTCTGCAAGATCTCTGGGACTGCATTTCTCACCAACATCTATGGGAGCATGCTCTTCCTTACCTGTATTAGTGTGGATCGTTTCCTGGCCATTGTCTATCCCTTCCGATCTCGTACCATTAGAACTAGGAAGAATTCTGCCATTGTATGTGCCGGAGTCTGGATCTTAGTCCTCAGTGGTGGTATTTCAGCTTCTTTGTTCTCCACCACTAATGTCAACAATGCAGCCACCACCTGCTTTGAAGGCTTCTCCAAACGTGTTTGGAAGACTTATCTGTCCAAGATCACCATATTTATTGAAGTTGTTGGGTTCATCATTCCTCTGATATTGAATGTCTCTTGTTCTTCTGTGGTGTTGAGAACCCTCCGCAAGCCTGCTACTCTGTCTCAAATTGGGACCAATAAGAAAAAAGTGCTGAAGATGATCACAGTGCATATGGCAGTCTTTGTGGTATGCTTCGTACCCTACAACTCTGTCCTCTTTCTGTATGCCCTGGTGCGTTCCCAAGCCATTACTAATTGCTTATTGGAAAGATTTGCAAAGATCATGTATCCAATCACCTTGTGCCTTGCAACTCTGAACTGTTGCTTTGACCCTTTCATCTATTACTTCACCCTTGAGTCCTTTCAGAAGTCCCTCTATATCAACAGTCATATTAGGATGGAATCCCTGTTTAAGACCGAAACACCTCTGACCACAAAACCTTCCCTTCCAGCTATTCAAGAAGATGTTAGTGATCAAGTAACAAATCATGGTGGTGAATTAATACTAGAATCCACCTTCTAAGTACAAGAACTTTCTTCAGGTTCAGATATGGTTTTCCCTATGATTTTTCCTATGCTATAAATAAAAGATTTAAAGATAATGATATTGAGAATAGATAAATGTACCAAATACAGTCAGATACATTTGTTTGAGCATTTATTGTACATATGCTGTTTTGTTCAGTAATTATAGGTCAAGTCTAATTACAGCAACCAAAATGGATTGCCAAACTTTGCTGCTGGTTTGGAATTTTATTGTATGACATTATATAAGTAGTCAGTTACTTTGCTTTTAGTGATATAGAGATTACTTTGAGACTTTTGAAAAGGCATTTCCGTTCTAGTGATACTTGGTAATTAGGTTGGGCCTATAAATATAGAACAAATTCAGGGATCATTAAAAAAATATTTTGTATTACTACTGACATATGCTAGTCTTTTTTTTCTTTTTTGAATCATCATTGATTTTATTTTATCAGAGGAAGATATTTTAGCTAAACGTTATTAATAAGAAAGTTATTGAATTTAAAAGAGCTGGCAAAATTTGTTATGTGAATTTTGAAAACAGAAAAGAAGTTGTGTTTATGTGAATGTGGGTGAGAAGAAATAGAAAATTAACAAGATTTACACATTTCCAATCACCATGTCAGTTTTTAAAACTTTTTTTTATACTGCATTAAGCTTTTTATGTGAAACTACAAACCAGAACGCTGCTAAACATGTGCCTAGCAGGTGCAAAATAGATAATCACATAAAATAAAATGTCAACCAAAAAAACCTAAGCAAAACCACTGTTTTCCTTTTCTTAAAATTTTTAATTATCTTTCTTTTGGAGGATTGAATTCTATAAAATATTTATTCTCCATATGAAATTTTGGAGCACAGTGCAAACAGAAGGCTACTGAATTTGTGCCCAGGTCAGGAGCAAATTGAAAAAATAAAGCAACGACAAAAAAAAAAAAAAAAAAAA